GTCTACTCAGGGATTAGCAAACTCATCTCTATCCTTAAACTCTTCTCTGAGTACTTCCTACACCTCCTTGCCTTAATTGAAACCCAAGGTAACCGTGTACCCCTTACTCTCTCACAGCTTGGGGTCGGATAGTAGGATAACAGTCCTTCTTGCTCACCATTGCTACTTCCAATTATTCCCCTACCCTCTTATGAAAACAAACTAACCCCAAAACACACAACAACAAACCCAGCTCCTTTGGAGTGCCTGCTATCCTACATCACCTCCCTCTCCCCTGCCTCAGTTGTCCCTTTCCCTCATTCACTGGAGACTTGAGGACCCCAAGCATGGTCATTGTCTCTTGCAATGCATACCATGGAGCTTAATAACGTTTACATGAAGGTAAGCAGCTCACCCAAAGCCTAGTGCATCAACTCGCTGACCTTCTCAACTGTACCTCACCCTACTTGCCCATCATTTCACCTCCAAATACCTGAACTCCTCCCCATATCATGATTTTGCAAATCTGATTTTTTAATCACATCTTATCTTGCCAGGCATCCTTCAACTTCATGGAGGCCTCCAGTCTATGAATTCAACGATTTTTTTTCTTTTATTCATCTGCCCTCTCTTGACATCATTTATATTTATGACTTATATTTCATGACTTATCCATATCATCACTCCCGACACCATCTTTAACTATTTTACCCATCTCTCTTTTCATCACAGTCGTCTTACATATCGAACATGTTCTGTATCACCACCTCCAGGAATGGCTATAGAAAACGATAAAATGGAGCAAACTGTTGTCACTTTAAATGAATAACTCACTTCAAATGCGTACATCACAATCCCAGGATTCCTACTCTGTCTCTCTGGTCAGCTAATCTATTCTCTCTGGAAACATTTTCACACTATTTTTTCACTCTTTACATTTCCCACTCTTTCCTCTTACCTTTTACTGTATGGTTAAAGTAAAAGAAGTAAAAACCATCGTATGAAAATGCTACTGTCTTTCCTTGATCAATTCAGTAACTCTGCTTGTGTCTGCATCAGTCTTTCCTTCCACTATTAGTTCATTGGAGCAAGTGTCCCCTCCTCCCCTGAAGGACCAGTCTCTTAGTGTGCACCTGATTTTCTCTCAGAGGCAATGCCCCTTCTCTGCTGCACATCATTTATTTCCCCTTCTTTTTTTTTTTTAAAAAGATATTTTATTGGGGAATTGGGGGAGGGAACAGCATTGGGGAATCGGGGAAGGGGAACAGACAAGTTGCTGTCCTTTTGTTCTTCAGTCTAGTTGTGGAGGACGTCGCTTCACTGGCCCATATTGGTATTGTAATCATTGCATTCTTCCTGGGTGAGGCAGTCGCTCGCCGGCCATTGGACAGCCACTCATGGTAGCTCACTGCAGCCCCACTGCAGCCTACGCCGTTGCCGGCAACTCACGGCAAGCCCAGCTCCAGGTCAAGCTGTTGTTCACCATCTTAGCTATAGAGGGCGCAGCCCATGTGGGATCCAAACTGGCAGCCCTGCTGCTCAGAGCTTGTGCTCCCAAGCCAACTCTTAACAAATGAGCCACTCAGCCAGCCCTAATTTCCCCTTCTTAATTGGATTAATCCCATTCACACACCAACATGGTGCAAGAGCTCCCATCTCAAAAACTTTACAAACTAGCAAAACTACTCTGATGAGACCACGTCCTTCTAGGGCTCCATCCCATTCTCTTTGCTCCTCATGCGAGCTTCGGACCAATTATTTATTTCCACTTCTCATCACTTTCATTCCTTCCCCTTTCACTCGTGTGCCCCTGTTCATCTGGTCCCCCACCCCCATCACCCCAAAATGGCTGCTCTCAAAGTCCCCAATGATTTCTCTGTCCTCATCCTGCTCTGATTGCTTGGGGAGGGGGAGAGTGCAGCATAGCACAGCCTACCTGACTCCCCAGAATTGACTGTGATTAAAGGAGCACTCTTCTTGGCTTTCTCTTTCCCTGGTTTTCTCTATTAAACTTCGGGCTGCTTTGCCATTTTGCTTGTATCATGCTGATACCAACCTCCTTTAATTGCTCTCCACAAAGATCGCCATTATTTTCATCAATGCTTTTAGGCATGGAGTTCTCGACTATTCCAAGTAAAGTCAGTTTCCTTGGGCAGACCTGTGCCACTTTTCTTCCTTATGGCCTGTCTCTCCCATTAGGCAGAACCTCTCCGGCACTGCATTGGAGCTGGGCCAGAGACCCTCTTTTCCCAGACTGACACTCCTGCTCTAAGAGTGGATGCTAGGAGAAGGAGGTGTGGAAACCCCTTGTCTTCTCAGGTTGTTCCTCCCAACCATGGAGTCTCTGCCCAGCAAGTGAGCTGGGGCGTGGCCAACTAGGGGCCCCCATATCCTTGACTTCCTGGAGTACAGCTCCCACCCTATAAGTGGGGGCTAGCTGAGGACAGGGACACCTGGTCTTGGTGTGCCTACCGGGAATAGAACTTCTGCAAAATGGGGTTGGGGACTGAGAAANTGTGTTGTCCATCGTTTCAATGGGTTTTTATAACAATTGAAGTGGAAGGAAAGTAGCCTTCCTACATTCTTGGCAGGCTGGATATATTATTTTGCTAAATTATCTTCAGATAAGAACCCGGTGAAGGGCTCTAAGTGTTTGTCAGCAAAAGGAATAGTTGCTGGGTCCCTGCGGTCCCAACAAATGCCACTGCTGAGGCAATCAAGAGCGCGGTCATTGCAGGTGGCTTCTGGTCAGCGCGGCAGATGGCCTGACTTGAC